GGCGCCTTAATATATAGGTTGGACGAAATATGGTATATGTGCCAAGTAAAAATCTCGGAAATAGACAATTAGGTTTCCCAAAATAATATGTCGCTCGAGCGAGGTGGCTTTTTCGCTCGAGCGACAGTGGGGCGAAAGTCGAGCGAGGTAGTTTCTGTTTCAGTCGCTCGAGCGACACTCTGGCAAGCAGCTAGCGAAAATCCGGCTTGAATCCTTCTTATTCCGAACATAAAACCCCAAACCCTAAGCTAACCTACCAACTATGAAATTTTACAATTTAGTCCCCAAACTTTTATAAATGTTCAAGTTGGTCAATTTGTTCACAGAATCGCCAATACAAAATATAAACCTAACAATTTGTGAGTCCTGTTAGAGGAGTTTGGTAGCTACTCCCGGATTAGGAATCTCATAATAAATTTTTCAACATGGACATCCAACATTTAATTATTAACTAACTATTGTTGATGAAATAATTTGAATAAATATTTTCTTGTTAATAGTTTGAACTTCTGAATAAGGTAGTTTTGTATAGTATTAGAATGATTAGAAATTTTAGAAGTTTTGCCAATACTGTAATAAAATTATACAAAGACATACAAATAAATTTAACGTGCACGTAAAGAGAAGCGTTGAAGACATAATTTAAATAAAAATTTCTATCCGTTTTCTACCATTTAAGCTTACAAACGAGGTTATTCAATATCTTACAAAAGTAGTATATAAATACTAAAAAACATCATATGTCAAATTCTTAAACTTATTTTTGACCTATTGGTCATAGTATCATAGGCGACCGAATGACCACCCCCTAATTACTAGACCACTCTGTTAATAACATAAACATTTATACTTAGAACATGTTACTCTTTCGTTCATTTCAATTTCCATTTCCGACACAAAAAAACTTGATCTCAAGTGACTTTTCCTTTGAAAAACAGAAAATAAAACGAAATTAATATTTGTCCCTAAACTTTTCATTTTAATAATACTTAAGTAAACATTTGTGAAATGCATTCCCTACCGTCCCATTTTTTACCCCAAAAATATAATGATTTAACAGTACATTCAACAAAAATATTGTAATTTTTTAACGTTCAAAGTGAATAGAAAATACTGCAAAAAGTACAGAAATTAGATAATTAAATGATAAAAAAATGGTTGGAGACATTTACGACAAGAATGAAGATTCCACTTGCTATTCTTCCTAAAAGATATCATTGGCGGCCCCATGTAGGCTCCTAAGTGTCCCAACTTTTCAAGACAAACAAGGCTAAACATCATCGGTGTTCACCTAATTATTTTAAAAAGTTTCAAACGAGTAATTAAACTTTGATTTTATTGTCAGTTGATACATGTAGACTATGTTTGTGTCCCATTCTCTCTCTTTTTTTCTCATTATTTTTTCTAGAGTACTCATTTTAAACTACACATTTTTCATTAAAATAATCTTACACGTAAATCAAAAACTTTTCCTTTTTTTTTTAACCACACATTCTTTCATCAATAACTATTCCAAAAATTAAAATTTCCCCAAAATGGGGGCCAAACACACTCATAATAAAATTGGCTATGTAGACTTCAAATTAAAATGAATAAAATGTCACATGGGATGAAGTTCATATATATAGTATAAGCATGTGAAAGATGTAATAGAAAGATTTTTGGGTTGAAGAAATTGTGTTCCTAGAAGCCCACAACTTTGTTAATGTGAATATTTTAGTAACGTGTCGTTTGCATAGTACGTGTCATTTCATCTGCTTTTAACATTCACTCAAGCAAATCTCGTCAACTACATTAAAGAAAATTGTGTTCCTGGAAGCACACGACTTTGTTAATGTGAAGATTTTACTGACATGTCATTTGCATGAGTTCGTGTCATTTTATCTAATTTTAACATTCACTCAAGCAAATTTCATCAACTATACTCAAGCAAATCGAATTCTTAAAAGTACAAAACTTTGTTAATGTGTAGATTTTTCTAACGTGTCATTTGCATGGTACGTGCTATTTCATCTGATTGTAACGTTCACTCAAGCAAATCCCACCATCTACACTAACATGGTCGGATGACTAAATTTCAAATAAAATTAATAAATAGTGACTTAATTAAGTCTTTTTAAAGTTAGGCGACTTCCAATATAATTTACCCACACAAACAATGCCTATTAATTACGTAGTTATACTTTGGATTATTCTTCAATTAATCATTAATTAATTGACTCCATTTTCAACCATAGATTCAAAATCCAATCAGTACGCCAACATATATCAACGGCCCAGATAGAACAAGACAAAAGCCACATTACCCACAAGGAAACGCCCGACAATTGTCGTTCACATCAACCATGTCATTCAATGCACTTGATTTTGCAAGTCAGCAATCGTAAGAATATTTCTCCAAATTACTTCTTCTAACGTTAGATTATTGTTCTTGTTACTGTCATTATTATTGCCAAATTCACTGTATTTCTTGTCCCTACATTCTTATCCTATTATATTGCCGAGCCACCGTACATCATTATTAATCAGATTCTTCGAAGTTTCACTTCTCAGCCTTCATGAATTTTCTATTCTGAGAAAAAACCTGTTGGGTTCTTCGACATCTTATCTACTGTTCACGTATGTGTGGTCTTTTTATAGTTAATTTTCGAATTGAAATGGGTTGTCTCTAATTTCTGGGAGCATTTGATTTGTTTTTCCTAAGCACTAATTAGACAGACCTACTTTAAATTCTTCGAATTATTTATCTATTTCGGTTTATAGAGATTTTGTTAGCTGGGTTTTATGTTGTTAATTTGCTTGAATTGAGATGAGCTGTTATGAATTTGCAGAAAATATAATCTTTTTAAAAATTCAAGTCAGAGGAGCTACCTCTTGTATATGAAAGTTTCCAATTCTGTCGGGGTGTAAATTGGAAGTTTAGGATACGAGAATGATGGCTGTCAAACCTACTTTTAGTTATTGAATTTCTTGTGGATATGGATAAGATACTTGGATATGGCTTTGCTGACTTTTGGGTTGTTAATTTGCTTGAACTAAAAGGTGCTCCCATTAACTTCCATGAAAGATTGCAATCTTTTAGCTATAGGAGTATAAGAGCTATTTTTCCCTAGACAAGCAACAAACTAAGTTTTGTTCACAATAAATTTGAAGTGTTTATAGCGAGTCTCTTTGTTGATTTCTAGATCTCCAACTCCCTCAATAGGCTGTTTAGCTATTTTTCTCTTAGAATTTTTCCAGTTTGGTAAGCCATAGGTATGCGTTGAAAGATCAAGGAATGAAGACTTGGCATACTAGGGAGATGATAGTGAGTTCTTATGGCTGTACATGTGGAGTTTAATGATGGCTATGTGTAATTTATGTTATGCTTCTATTGAGCTTTCGAGTTCTTACTTTTGCTTTATTGCGACTACTTCTATTATAATTTTAAAGGCTGACATCAACTTCTTGTCAAAGTTTCATGTTCAGTAAACAGTTTCTAGATCCTGTGATAATACTTCTTGTCAATGTTTTTCATGTTCAGTAAACAGTTTCAAAAGTTTTTGATTTGTTGAGTTGCACCATTGTAATTAAACTCAGTTCTGTTGTATTGTGATTTTTACGAAGACACAAGTGTAGCTTATCATTTTCTCCTAAAAGTTGAAAACTGGTACATAGTGATCATATTTGACATGTCACATTTGTATACTTTTAACCAGTTTCAGCATAAATTTGAGAGTTGTGAATGCTTATGGTAGGCATATCTTGTATTACAACAAATGTATTCGTTCAAACTGGAACTTATATTGAGCTCTACTGACATTTTCTTCGATATTTTCTGTTACAGATGCTAAAAGTGATAAACATTGAACAGAAGTGTTGTTGAAAGGCAACAATCATTGTATTTGAAACAACGGTTGTTGTTTTATTGAACTGAAAGCAAAGAGTGTTTACAATTAGAAGAAACGATTTCCATACGGAGTCACATGACATGGATATCTCTGGAGCTATGTCTAGATCTTTAACCATTCTGCCTTCTCCTTTGGAAGAGAAATATCCCAAGCTACCAGATTCACCTCAGGTTACTTTAGCTCAAGAACTGACAAGTAATCACAAATCTTCTTGCCCTGCTACACTGTCAAGTAACAACCAAACTGTGGGGAATTTGTTTTCATCTCCTTCTGGATGCTCTACAGATCTTCAGTCTTCTTGTATGTCACCTCAAACAAGTCGATTAAAAGTTTCTCCGTTCATTTCTAAGTCACCAAATGAAAGACTGTCTTACGCATCAAACCAGCCTCCCGATGAAGTAAAGAATTCTAGACCATTGAATGCCTACAATACAGAGAACGATAATATTTCTTGGAGTAAAAATGCAACTGAAAATTTTCTTGATCTTTGCATGAATATACCTGTACAGAATCTCCAAGTAGAAACCTGTACTGGTGTAATGGCTTCAGAAGACCATACTAAGGGAAGTGATTGGCAGGATTGGGCAGACCAGTTGATCACGGTTGATGATACACTGGACTCAAATTGGAGTGATCTCCTTGTTGATGTCAATTTTCTAGATTCAGAACCCAAGGTTTGTTTCTCATCACAATGACTACAGTATATGCTTGATTCTTCTGAATTAACATCGACCAAAATTGTAATCATCAAATTTGGATACAGAAATATGTGTATACTCTTCCTGACATTTTTTCCAAAACCAGTGATTATTGTGAGGTACAATTCACTTAACAACTATATGAGAGGTTTCTTTTTATTCCACATTGATGCTGATATTGGCCCATAACGTATCTTATCTAAACTTTTATTCTACTTTCAGCACAGAATTTCTTGTGTAACTGTTACCACCATTTACAATTTTAATGGAAGGTTACACGTGTTTGTCTCATGGGAAATGTAATTTGCTCAATAAAGAATAAGGGAAGTACCAATTGTATGATGCCCACATGTTATTGGCAGGAATATTCTCATTGGACAACTAGGATATCGTAGTATTCGTGTATTTTTTCAAATGTACTTTTTCTTTTATATTATTTGATTTAGTTGTGTCTTACAGTTTCTCGACTTGCCACCGAACGCCTCTGCGCATCCCCCACAAATTCATCATCAGCACCATCATCCTGTGTCAAGTGGAAAAGATTCTCCTGTAGGTAGCCTTCCTGCTGCTGCACCCTTGACTAAAGCACGTATGCGTTGGAATCAAGAACTTCATGAAGCTTTTGTGGATGCTGTCAATAAACTTGGTGGTAGCGAACGTGAGCCACTTGCCCATCTACACTTTCTCCCAATTTCATGAGAATTTGTAAACTGAATAGTTATCTGACTTGTGTTCTTTTTTCTTTTTTTCTTTTTTGGTTTTAAAGGAGCTACACCAAAGGGTGTCTTGAAGCTTATGAATGTTGAAGGCCTAACAATCTATCATGTGAAAAGCCACTTGCAGGCATGTTGACAGGGTTTACTGAGATTTTGGTTTCTTGTAGCAAAACAATTCTTTCAAACTTAATATGGTTCATCTGAAATTTCAGAAATATAGAACTGCCAAATACAAACCGGAGACATCAGAAGGTAGAGGTTGCCTCTCTAGTTGTGTGTTAATTTCTTTCATGCATGAAAGCATCTATGATGCCTGATTTCACTAAGAACATTGATTTTATGATTTCACTGAGAACTTTAATTTCTGTGCAATTTAATTTATAGTTTAAACAAAATCTCATTCAAATATTCTAGCAAGATGAAATAATACTTGGTACTTAATGATCTTGACATTGTGATGCTATGTTAGTATCGAAAGTATATCTTGTGTGCAAGTAATTATACTCTTCTTATCAGGGCATTTACATTATTGATGACAAGAACTTATTAGAGATTGCGGTCTTCTTAATGCAGGAACGTCAGAGATGAAGTCGAATACGATTGCTGAGATGACATCCGTCGACTTGAAAACGTGAGTCTCTCTCTCTCTCTCACTCTCTCTCTCTCACTCTCTCACACACACACACACACACACACGTCCATCCCAGTTCATATCCTACTTACCTTTCTGGAAGGTTCCAGATAAGATTAATATTAAAAAGTCAAAAACATTCTCTATCATCTATTTTAACTAAAGAAGTATAAATACAATTCGTTGAATGAAACAAAAGGTGGATGGAAAAAACTTGAAAATAAATCTCGAAACTCAGAAGCAAAACACTATGCGTAAAGTTGGATCTTAGAGATAGCCTCTCATTTTGGTTCCTTCCATGCATTGACCCCTTGCACAAGCCTCCATATTGAGAGGTTTCAGAAGCAATCTCAAAATATGCAATCAAAATTTTGAACAAACCTAAAATATATGTAAGTTTCTTTACTTGTGTATTTATTTACAATTTTTTCCATTTTCACAAGGTGATATTGACTGTTAGTTTGGTGTGGGTGTGTGCCGGTGTCGGTGTGGGTGTGGGTGGTCTGGATTCTATTTACTGCAGTGTCTTGCTCTATGATTGTGAATGGTCCTTTGGTGTGTTTTTAATAAAATTAAAAGTTTATGAGGTTCCAACAATAAAAAGATGAAAATAGGATGCGATGGATTCAAGTACTGTGAACATGATACAGGGACTAATGAGTGGACAGAGAGTGCTTAGCCTATAGAGATCATTGAGTTGCTATTGCATTTAAATCTAAAATCTTACATGGTGTAATTTTGATGGCAGGACAATGGGAATAACAGAAGCACTACGAATGCAGGTGGAAGTACAGAAGCAACTCCATGAACAACTTGAGGTACACAACCGATGCATAAGGTTTTAGCAGAAGTTGATGTTATTTTCTTTCCTTTTTAGATGCTAACTTGCTAATTTTTCGGAAATTTTAATATATTTAGGTTAAAGATGTTGATCCTACAGGTGTCATCTAGGAGAGGGTGAATAATAAGCTCGTAAAAATGAAAAACTAAAAAGCAACAGTTGATAGTTCAGTGCTGAGAGTAAGAATACGTGTACCAATAAGTTAACATAAAGAGCACAAGTATAAAGTGTAAGGGGAGTTGGAAATCACCTACTAAAATGAATTTATTCATTTAAAAACAAAGTAGATATGTGAATGCAACAAACTGGATGCAAAAGAATAGGAGAAGAATGATCAAATTCAAGACGTGGACTGTTTCGGTTGACCTTGGACCTACATCCACTGCCAGGAGTCTTCCATATGGATTTTAACTATTGTAGCAGCATATCACTGAAAGCAAATAACACCACAGATGGTCTTTTCTCAATTTGGCAAGCTCTGATCTTGTTTGCAGAATTTAAGCACTCTATAAACTTCTCAAATTGGCAGATACGATAATGAATCACTCATAAGATTGCAACCCAGGCTGTGTAAACAATTTTAATGAATAAGGGAAAGAATAATGAATTTAGAAGATGAGAAAATGATAAAGCTATACTCTTGCTCTCTGATTCACTTCTTACTATATTTGCCTACATAAATCCAATGTTATAGTAACTGAATATAGACACTGGAGCTAATTGTATTAGTTTCTGCGATTACCGCAAAACAATAGAGAGAAATGTTTGAAAAATTATTCTTGTTTGTGAAGTAGGGGGATCAATCATATCCATGAAAATTTTGAACTTTGAGCTTAACCCAGCCAGAAAATAATTGAATTCAAACTTTGGGTAGGTTTAAAATCACCAATCAATTCAAATAAATTGCAAGTGCATTAGTAACACTTCATGGTATAACTTTTTCACATCTAAGAAATAAATTTCATTAGAAAATTAGTTGATAGGCCCTTTTGGATGATGACTCATATATTTGTCAGGATTGCAAACTCATCATATATATGTCAGATCCTGTTAGAATTCACTTAGGCTCCTGACTATGCATTTGAAACATGAAACTGAACTTCTGGATTTTTAATCTGAATTTTGAATCTGATTCTGGACATTTTGGGATCAAGTTTTGAATGTCTAAATGTACTTGGAATAATTGCTTAGTGCTTACAACCTGAACCTGATACATGTCATTTGTATATTGGTATAATAATAGACTAAGCCCCTGTTTGGGCTCCATTAAAATTAAATTTTGGGAAAAATGTGTTTTGAAATAGTGATTTTTTTGGAGAATGCATGGTTTAGAAATAAAGAAAAATGTTGGGTTTATGTGTAATATTATTTTATTGGAAAATGTGTGGTTAAAAATAAGAAAGAGAAATTGATTTTTACAAAAATGGAACCCAAACATAGGCTAAGTGTTTGGAGTCATAACAATTGTGGGATTAAAGGAATCTCATTCCAACAAAAAGGTGACACAGTAAACATGACGTTCAAATATGATAGGTTAAGAATAGTGGATTCGCTCCTTGTTTGGTTATTGATTTCATTACAAAATAAACTTAAAATAATATTTTTTTTGGAAACAGTGCATTATATTAATTTATCTCTTTTTGATAAATAGAACTTGAAGAAAAAAAATACTTTTTTCACTAAGTCAAAACCACCAACAACTAAAGAGAAAAAATTAAATAGAAACGTAAAATTAAATTAACTGTTCCAACTCCTAAGATTATATCCGTAGTATACAGAGTGTACATCATTTTCCACCCCAATAGAATTTTCTAATGACTCTCTATGTTGTCAGCGTCATTGAGGTGTTTAGCAATTTAATGTTTTCATTGAGTTTGAAGTTCACTTTCTGGCATAACAGCGCTATCAGAAAGAGTTCACCTGAATTGTGTGCAAAGTACAAATATAGCAAAATATTAAATTACCTTGAAAAGAAAACTCGTAGCTATTAGGCTGAGCATCAGATATTCACTGTCTTAAAGAAGATTCATGCCCTCTACTCGGGATTGTACACAAGAAGCTAATGCTATAAATGCCATGATTTTCCCGCTTAAGATAAAATCACTCAACTGAAATCAAACCAATCTAAAACATAGGTTTATGTCAAATCTTTGCGAGACGAAAACTATTTGTTGACTAACATACTCTTTATTGTTTAGTAAGAAAAATATTGTATTGAATATAGAAAATGTGTATAGAAACGTAGTACTTAAAAAGATCCAGAAATCGAGGTATTTGCAAGAATTTTGGACTCTTAATATTCAAGGATAAAAATGATATAAAATTATTTGTATGTTGAGATATTATGTTTTCATAACTCTCCTATGAACTAATATGATTTAACTCATCAAATTTTGATCTTTGATAAATAAATATCAGTTTAATATTTATAATTCCCAACAGAGACCTATTTAATATAAACACGGAATGATATTTCAATTACAAAAGCGAGCAAAGAATTACTGCTTAGGAGTGGGAATGGGCCGAGCCACTGAGCTCGGCTCATGTCCCAAATAGGGACTGGTTTCAGCCTATTGCCTCGTGGGTTGAGCTGTCCATAGTTTTTTATTTTAAAAAAGAAATTTTTAAATACTCGTTTTGAGCTTGAGACTGGCTACCCTTAACGTAGGTTGAGTTAAAATTATACACGAACAAGTTATTACGTGTACAATTTTTTTCTAAACAATGAGAACAATTAAGGAAAATAATGTAAACAATAATTAAAAATTATGATGAACTCAGAATTTGATGATCTTTAGCTATTAATCTGTCCACCTAATCTTGGATTTGGAACGCACCTTCTTTCTATTCCTTTAAACTTATCGAACTCTTTAGTATATTTTCTTTTTGAGTCTTGTTCTGTGATCAAATAAGACTAGCCACCTGCACTAAAAGTAGACTCTGATGCTAAGTAGATACCTGAGGTGTTAGTAGATCACATGTTAAACAATTGGATATTGATACCATTTTATTCCACCACCTAAGTATGTCAAAAGTTTGTCGCGAGAAGTATATTTCATATATACCTATATTCATACCTTGTATAAGGGAAGTACTAGATAATTTTTGAACTTAACAAGAACTAACGTAGTTGAATAATGATATATTGTTGTTTTTTATTTCTTGTGATGATAGACTAGCACATGATACGAAGGACCGTCGAACATTCATACCCGTCCTTTCAAAATTTTTCAAAATTAGGAACTTACAAAAACAATTTCAAATTGAACAAGGCTGAAATCATAATCGTATTTTCTAGTGAATCTTACTTCAATAAAGTTTCCTTGGCTTTCGTTTAAGATTAAGAGGGTATATATATATATTTTTTATAAATCTTTTATCTCAAGTTACAATTGAAATCGGTTGCCTAAATCCATTAGAGGCATGTGTAAAAGTTTAAGGCCACGTAAATAAATAAGGACGTAATTGAAAGTTGAAACAATGGCAAAATGGTTTATTGGCCATCAATTTTTTGATCGAGCTTGAGATGGTCCACAACCTACTAAATAAGAGCAAATTGAGTCCCCACCTTTTAATTAGTATACAACCACTCTATGCAGACAAACTATTCAATTAGAAATGACAACGAGACGGAACAGGGAGTAAACTATTATATTCCAATTTCTGTCACGTTTTCCCGTTTACTTGTATTTTTCTAATATTATAATTTTTAAAATTTTAATACTATTTAACTTTAAAAATTAAATTAAATAAAGTAAAAAATAAGTCAGTGTAAGGACCATGTTCCGCTCCCACCTTGTTTCACCAATAATGTATTTTGTCATCCTTATATTCAATTTGACTAAAGTGGTATTTGAGTTTCAAATGTCTAGATTATTTGGGATAAAATCGTCTTCACACTTAATTTTAATTAAAAGATGACAAAAAATGAGAAAAGAATGGAAAAAACATAGAGAAAAAGAAAAAAAATACCAAATCTTGTTTTTGACACTTGGAAGTAAGATTCAGTAAGAAATCTCATTCTAATTTAGCATTGTTCAATTAGAATTCATCTACATAAGTTCGTATAAGTCTTAAATGGCAAATTCTGAATACAAATTTTAATTGTTGTTGATTCCATTTCTTTTCGTTTATTGAGAATTCATGATGCTTAAACCCAATTTCGACAATTGTCTGTCATTGTTTGATATTGTGAGGCAACAATTTCATGGTCAAGAAAAGGTTTAAGAGGATTTATATACCTACAAATTGTAGTTTTACAGGTGGAGATCATGTTTAGTGATCATACAGACTTCACAGTTCTATAATTACATGTGAAAAAAAAATTGCGAAAGGATAGATTCTACTACCATTTGTGCTCCAACTTCAAAAAATCATGTGATGAGGTTGGAAGGAAAGAAACAAAAGTCTGTATTGAATTTTTGAATTGGGTTGCGAAAACTTTAGGGGATGAGCACAAGTATAAAGTAATTCTTGATGTTGTTAAAGGTTAGGGGAGTACTAGGACATTGATTGGGTTTATGAGGAGGTTTATGTTATATTTAAGGATTACCCAGTATTTGATGTTAAGTATTCAAGGTTTTTAGTCAACTTTTTTGAGGCAAAGGGTTAAAGACAATGCTAATTTCAAATCCGTTTCTAGGAGTAGGAAAGTTGAGGATAGAGTTGTCAAATTGGTATCAAGATTCAATTTAAGTCTCTCTTAAGGGAAATGTCATGGGTTCGAATCTTAAGAACACGATAGAAAATCGTGAGGAGTAAGAGAGCAAATGTCCTCCCAAAGTGAACGGTACTATCATATGGCTTGGGCACGAGACTCAGGTTGTTACAAAAAAATGCGTGTTTTTTGTAACGACCCAACTTCTATGCCGTCAACTTGCATACTGTTCACTATAGGAGAGCTTGAGCACATCTTACCTTTCACGAATTTTTGTTACGTCCCTAAGATTCGGACACATGACTTTCCCTTAAGAGATACATAAGTTAAATTTTGGTATCAATTGGACAACTATTGTAACAACTCAGCCTTTATGTCCAAGCCATTAACTTAAGTCTCTCGTAAGAGGAAGCCATGTGTTCAAATCTTGGGACAGAAATCCGTAAGGGGTAAGATGGGCTCAAGCCCTTCCATATCTGACAGTACGTAAGTTAACGAATTGAGCATAGAGGTTGAATCGTTAAAAATGCACACGTGCTTTTTTGTATGTGCATTTTTTGTAACAATCCGATTGGTATCAGGATTCAAACTTAGGAGAAAGGTCATGGATTCGAATCTCGAGGACGTAATAGAAAGTCATGAGAAGGTAAGAAGGTAGATATCTTCTCAAAACAGACAGTACATATGATATAACGCATTCGACACGAGGCTCGGGTCGTTACAGAGCACTATACATGATAACTCGATATGAACAAGTCATGTTGGAATGTAAAGATGAAATGTAGGAATTTGACATGAAGTATCATTCTTTAAAATCAACCATGAAGGCCATGGATCAAATGGTAGAGGAATTGAAGAGAAATTAGAATGAAATGATCTATATTGAAGAGTACCTTAGTGTTTTGAATTTTGAACTACCTCAAAGATTTGTATGGTAATGATCATGTGTTAGAGATGAGGACAAATCCAATTTATGTGAATGTCGTAGCCACCATAAAGTCGCGTTTGAATAAGAAGTACCTGAAACTTAAAAAGGAACGCGGATGGCTAAGACAGTGTGCAAAAATTATAAAAGAAAAACATGAAAAGGTGTACAATCATACGACTTCTATCTAGAAAACAAGTGCAAAGAGGTTGAGCTCGGCCCATTTTCCATGCGTCGCTTAAACAAATTGCACTAGATGTTGGCATGCTTTATTGGATATTGTGCATTGCTCGTTTGTTGATGCTACAATTACACGTGTATTTGAGTGTAATTTTCAAAGAAAATGGCTTTACACCACACTCACTTAGGTAATATCTATCTAAATTGCTTGCATAGCTATTTCACCTAACTCAAATGAGTGAGAGATTTTCTTGACATGCTGGGATTGATAATAGGGCACTTTTTATTGTCACCTTGCAATTCATTTTTTCCACTAACCATAGTTCTAAACATCTTGTCATTGGATTGAGTATTCTCATATAAGAACTACGAATCATGGACATTCCTATTTGGTGGTATGTCCATTTCCGACACTTATAGTACACCAATATGTGTGCCTCACACTTAATGACGTCCAATTTTTCATGTATTTTAGATATTAGAAACTTGGTGGATACTTCTAGAGGTAAAATTTAATTGGCACCATCAAAGAACTAGAGGAAGCTGATCCTTCCTTTGGAATACGGGAAGCCAAAAATTTCGAGGTTATGAGTTCGCTGTTTAACTCTAGGAACATGAGCTAAACAAATTGAGGACACAATCCCATTTTGTAAATTTTCGAACTTTATGCCGAATTCGATGTGTGTGTGGTCTCGTGCAGACTTTTTTTTCTCTCTAAATCGGTGATATATAGTTAATCTAAATTTATCTTATTACAACAAATAGTCTCACCTTGATGTTAAAGATTTTGCCAGTAGAAATCAAAGCTGAAATTATTGAAAAATAAATGTCTAATTTTTAGAATTTAAATTAACTTGCTCCCTATGTGTTCGTGTCCTACCTTTTTGAAAATCGTTGTCCTTCTTAATTTTAAAGTCATCATGATACTAGCTTCAATTTCATCCCCTAGATCTCGACATCTCACAATCTATTGCCTCTATGAATATTTTCAAGATAAAATCTCAAATTAGGAATGCTAACCTAAGGATCAGACAACCATTTAATAATTTTGTTATAACAGGAATGCCTTAAGAATTGAAGTATCATTGTTAAAATTGGATTAGCGCAAGATTGACATTTCACATGATTGCATCTTTGTTCTTGTGATAAGAATTGGAAGCCTATGTCATCATTGTAACTTCGATGCATGACACGAATGTCATTTTCTAAAAGTATTACATCATTGTTATCACTCGCAATAGGAGTGTCTATCAAATCTGAAAATATCTTCTTTTTTAATGACCATGAGCCATTTAAGTTCTTTCTAATTTCTACATCCTTTTGTGCCTTCTAAGAATTGTTTCATATATATTTCCAATTTTCATGAGATAAATGTTAAGGGGACATATCTTCACACCTGTTACGATAGTTAAGAATTGAATTTAGATATAACACATATATACTCATATTTTGTGTTTAGGCTTACTTGTATTTTCTTTAGGGAAGAAACAATGCTTCATTTAGCCTAAGGCCTTAGCAAATCACCAATTGCCATCTATACTGCTCACTTATGAGCTTTTTGGATCTTATTAAATTTGGTTGATTCTTTTTGAAATTGTGGGAGAAAATTATAATTATGGGTGTGTTTGAGCCACATTATTTGGGAAGAATGTATTTTGGAATTGTAGATTGGTGAAGAATGTGTAGTTGAAAAAGAAGGAGAAGTTATTGATGTGATGGAAAATATTATTTTTATTGAAAAATGTATAGTTGAAAATGAGTAGGAGAATGAAAATGAAAAATATAATGTGGATCAAACAGGGGCTATATAACAAAATATAAAAGTGGTTGAAAAATAAATATGTAAAATAATTAAATTGTAACAAGTGTATATCATCCAGGGTTGTGTTCATGGAAATGAAAACATCTGAAACTTAACGAACATTTTCATTCCAAGACAGAGATAGAATTTGTGTTGGGCCTTAGGATGAATCCTGAGGCAATGTAGTCCCGTTCTTTGTAGGCTATATAGTATCTCTTACTCTTTATGGAGATTTAAGCCCGCTAAAGTTCAGTAAATTCAAGGAATTGGTGCAGCAAAATCTCATGATTTGTCTACTCTTATGTTGCTATGGCTTAACTAAAACATTCAGTAGATCAAATATATCTGCACTATTGTTGAGAGATATAATGTTGCATATATGTTAAAAAAAATTTTGATCCCACCATATTATATTTCTTGTAACCTTAACAATCATTTTGTACTAACGTAATTTCATAATGCTCCTAAAATCATACAACTTATCTTTATCCAACCAAGATCTCCCGTGAATTAATATGACTCAACTTATCCAACTATTTTGGGTTCCCATTGAATGATTGACTCTATTTATGAAGTGTTGAAGATTTTTTTGTCAAGCTAAGTCTTCATGGAAGTTCATTTTGCAGTCCACATATGCATACATATAGGAATGATTTCATTAAATGTCGTTAGCCGCTGCTTTTGTTTCATTTCCTCTTCTTGTATATGTGCAAATTTAATTTGTTAAAAAACTGAAAAATACTGTGTTATTTGCATATCAGTTATTCCGTCCCTGCTTGGTTGCTTTTTTGGGGTTTAGATTCTTTTTTAGAGTAAAATTTCAAATGCATGTTTGGTACAAGTACAAAACAGGATTGAAGAGTAGAATGGACATGCTTTAGTTTCTTTTTCTTTTTTAATATTTTCTTGTGTCGTCCAATCCTCCACTCCAAACATGGCATAACTGTTCACCTGTAATTTAAAATTGTAAATCATTTTAACTGTAATACCTCTCTAGTATAACCCTATGGTGACATTGTACTTCTAGGGTGTTGCATGCCAAAGAATTCCATTTTATGGGAAAATAATTATTGGCATCATATGCTTAGAAACACACACACACACACACAAAATAACCTTCTCCATTCTTCTTGAAAGGACTTTTTCAGTAGTCGAAGTGAAAAAGAACCACCTCTAAAATTGTTTGTTTGAAAGGCCTAATGGAGGCACCAAATGTCTAATGTAACCTCAATGAAAAGGACCATTTTCTTTGCCGTTACCTCTTAGTTAATTTTATTTATTTATTTTTTATTTGTTTTGCTAACTCTGAATCACTTATTTCTTCAGATTCAACGAAAACTGCAGTTGCGAATTGAAGAACAAGGAAAACACCTTCAGATTATGTTTGAACAGCAGATGAAGATGGAGAAGGAAAAGGAAAAGCTGAAATCCCAGGCGCCTTCCCTTGATAAAGAGAAACCCGAACCCTTTGTAGTGAAGGCTGTTTCAACTGATGCATTCATTTCAGCGGCAGAGCATCCAAATGACATGCAAGAATCGCCTGAAAGGAATAATGAACTGAGTCGACCAACAAAACGAGCCAAATCTGATGAAACAGAAGCATCATCTTGATTGACTGTTGGATTGATTGTGACTTTCTTCTGGTTGAACAACTGGGTTAGCATGGATGGATGGGACTCTTGATTTGAATAATATGTAGATTTGCTTAAAACAACAAGAAGCTGAATCTATATCTCTTGTATATTGTAAAATAGTTAAGTAGTTTTATTCATTCAATTTGCATTAAAATGGTATTTCTTATGGAATGTAGGAGTATTAGTTGTATCAAGAATTTGAATTATTACCGCTGCTGGCATAGTTTTAATTGAAAATTGAAGTACAATGTTGTCAATAGGGTCGTTTACTCTATTTTTGTTCCAATTCGTCAAGAACCATCGTCAAAATAAAGCCAAAAAAGGGCCAAGTAGGGATGTGGTGAGTGAGTGATTCAATTTTGATAGGAAAAATATAATAGAGTTTCAATGCTTTGGCATGGGAATATATAAACATTTCTTGAACGTAACATTATTCAATGATACGGGAAAATTTGACTTGAATTTATATTTATTAATTAAGAAAATGAGCTGGTTGTTATTCACGTTTGAAGATTAATACATCTTGTAATGGAAATTGGATTCTGTTTTTATTTTGGGGGAGATGTGGTTTTACGTTCATGTATTTGAATGCTGCTACTTCTTGATTATATTAAGACATATATGCGTGCTAATTATCGAAGAGATGAATTTACTTTTTTTGTATATCGATTTTCTGCTGACAAACATTTTTTTTCTTAGTGAGCATGATTCAATTTTGGCGGTTTGTGAAAATTTTCAAAACAAACCATTTTTCTCAATTTGGTTCGATTTAAAACTGAGGTTTAGCAAATAATATATATCGAACAAATTAAATAATAAATATTAGTACAAAGTTTTACGTTATTACATATATAGTGTTGACGTTAAAAATGACATGGTCAATTTTAATCAGAAGATGATTTGAGAGAGGTAATCTTACTGGAATAACTAAAAGGAAGACAATTGCCTTTGTTGAAATGCTTGTAAAGTGTTCTTTTTGAGTACATTGAATTCAGGTTCCTTGGCATCATTTATAGGTTCATAACCATGCAACTTGACTGCCCAAAGTCCCACCAGTGCAGTTGGGAAAATTAGTGCAGGTAGGGCACTTCGACAGGACGGAACTGTGACAAAGGCAGAAAAACGTGGGAAGGTTGTGTAGGCACGGAAACGAACTCGAAAACCACCGTTTTGAAAGGTCAAAATCCGTGGGACTACAGCCAATGATTTTGTAAGCAAGTAGGCACGACTTGCATAAAGCAACAAGCAACTTGCATGCAACTTTAATAGAGTAACTTGCAAATTGCATAAAGTGACTTGCAACTTGCAAACAATTATGACCATTGGATCCATTAATCTTGGTCAGTGATTTCAATTTGTTTTGCAAAATTTTGCCAATAAATAGATGCATAGTACATTGTAAATGTCAAGAAGTGCAGTTAGTTAAATTTTGAGAGATTGTAAAAAAGATTTCTTTTTATTAATACAATGAGATTCTCCCAAACTTATTTGCTTGTTCATTTAACACACTACTCAAAGGTGATGTGAATTAGCCTCAAAGGTCAAAATTTTCATGGGGTGTTCGAAGGTTGACTTAACGTATTCTCGTGGAAACAAGATTTGTGAAACATTGAGATTTAAGGCATCACGATTTTAGTTTGTCGGTTGAAACAAAACTAAGTTCTGACAGGTAATATCATAGCCTAGTTCGATGATTGTAAATTGCGGATTCCCAAAATACTGTCGACATTGAGATTGAGGAGAGGGGATGTGGTGTTGTCCCTATTGAAGGAAGGAAAACGCGAGGCAAAATTAAAATCTAGGAAGCTTCTGCCGTGGAAGGAAAACTCGACCAGGTCATCACCCATTTGGGTGATCGGGTCGAATCTCTTAAGCATTCTTTCAAAACGTTGTAAGGCCATGCCATTAGTTAGAAGCTCTCCAAGGCAATGTCCAAGTGATGATGAACATACAAATATCGTTGAAGGACGATATTCAGGCCGTAAAGGATGATTTCGAGAAGATTTTAGCCGTCTCCAGGCTAGATTCTTACATTTTTTTGTGTCATGCAAGGACAGGTAAACCATTTTCCCGTTACTATTGAGGAAATGAATAGGGAGCTTGAACAATACAAGCAATCTACTACTGGTATGAGTGGAGATGTTGCTCCGATCATTGCTACCCCTAAGAATAGAGTACCCGAAGCTTAAAAGTTTTGATGGCAAGCGTGATGCTAAAGATGTGGAAACTTCATATGGCAAATGAAAGTATACTTTGAGGGCATGAGTTTCCTCGATGAGGCAATGAAAGTAAGAGCTGCTACCATGTATTTTTTCGACATCGCTTTTCTTTGGTGGCATCGAAAGCATGCTGAAATTGAGAAGGGGACCTGCAAAGTTGAAAAATGGGACAAATTTAAAAAGGAGCTAAAGAGGTAGTTTTACTCGAAAAATATCGTGTATGAAGCCAGTAAAAGATTGCGGGAGATGAAACATAAGGGGACAATCCGTGACTATTTCAAAAGGTCATGACTCTTTATCCGCTTCAAATCCCCAGCATGCCAAAGGACATAATGTTGTTTTACTTCTTGGAGGGTTGTGCTAATTGGGTACAATAAGAGTTGCAACGTCACGGAGTTAAAATCGTAGATGAGGCCATTGTGCTGCTAAATCATTGACATAATTTTAAAAAAGTACAGAGACAGAGAACAATTAAACCCGATAAAGGAAATTTTGGCAAAGGCGGGGAAGACGTAAGGAAGGATAAGGAGCGGCGTAAGCCGGATTGGAGACCCAATCCTAAATTTGATTATAGATCCGGTGGTAGCAAACAAACTTCTTAGCGGAAAGATTACGACAATAAGAAGAAAGTGTAAGTGTTATGTCATAGATCCAATCAACTTTGGACATAAACACTTTAAATATATATATATATAATTGATGCAT